TAAAAAAGAACCAGATACACTTGTTACAATAAAATGAATTTTTGTAAAGATGCCAGGGAAGGACTGCGTTTTTAAATGGAGAGCATTGTGTGCACCATTAATTGCTCCTGTTTCCCTGGTAAGAGAACAATGGTAAATTTGAGACAAAGAGAGAGGAAAAACAAGTAAAACTGCCTTGAAAAGTTTAAAATGCTTCCTAAGCTGAAGCATGTGTGTCTATTTGCCGGTAACATTTCAAGAGCAAAATTTCCAAGGGCTGGAGATAAAATTTATCTTTGCGCTGGATGCTTGCCTAAACTTCACCGTATTCAAGGACCGTGTTGTCCGTGTTCACAAAGACAAATAATTGTGTTGACAGTTTATCAGGTTTACAATCCCAAAGCTAGATAGCCCCCTATTGACTTTTTAAAGTTTTTATTTACTTATTTGTTTGGTCTTGTTTTGTTTCTGAGTCAGTGAAACATTCATGTGGTTTAACATTCAAAGAATAGGTAAGGAAATACTATGAAATATCCCCTCCCTCTGCCAATTTCTGTCCTCCAGCCATTCAGTTCCACTCCTCAGAGCCAACTAATGTTAACCAATATCTTGTTTCATGCACACCTTACTCTTTACCCAATTTTCTCAATGTGAGAGTCTAGGAAGCAAGGGTTTCCTGACTCTTTGGCTATGTGACCCATAGGATGCTCTCCTTTACACAAGACTAGAGTGGAATCCAACCCCAAGGGGTTTAGGAACAAGTATTCCTCGAAACAGCAAACATCTGCCAATGCCTAATTTCACTATTCTGCACTTCACTGGCCAGGCAGCGAAATGCCTCGCCAAAGACTTTGTGAGGGGGGAGATAACATTCTGCGAGGGTAAATACGGCTATTTCTCCTCCAGCCAACTTTACTGACAACGTCACACAACTGCATCTTTGTTCCTGTCCAGAGAGCTGGGCAGTTGGTGCTACAGAAAACCTTATTGCTGATATCACTGGGGATTTATAGCGGAGAGTAACTCATGCTTATTTACATATTGGCCTGTCCACATGCTTTTCATTTATGTGTATGTGTGTTATTTCTCCAGCTGAAATAAGTTCCTAATGCCTAAATCCTTTGTACCCTCACTGCCCCCGACACCTGGAACTCAGCTCCTGTTTTCTCACATTGCTTGACAACCTAGGAATGGACTTTTCTTCTAAGTATCTTTCAAGCACACCTCTGGGTAGCTCCTGTGGAGATATGCTGTGAGCATGAGATATCATTCTCATCCTCATTAAGTTAGACATGTTTCTAGAGAGATAAGAATTACCTTTATTAAACAGGGACTGTACTTAAAGTGCTAAATTAAGGTGGGCTTGAGGAGGATGTGGTTGAAAAAAGATTGATCATCCCTGTTTTCTCTAGAGGTTAAATTATAACCATTTCTAAATTTTCTAATTATCTTGATTCTTAAGGCTTTAGTTTATAGGTTTGTTAATATTAGAAACAAATTCTGTGCTTCTTCCTTTTCTTGGAAATCTTCTAGATTCTATTGGACAATACCCTCCTCATCCCTAAGACCTCCTTCAACCTGAGTAACTACACCCAAACAGGACATTCCAAATAGGGTTTTCCTTAGGAGGGGACAAGGCAGTTCTGCCAACTCTGTTCTACTTCTGTTATCTGGAAGTCTTGGTTCCTGGACATAGGCAGGAAGCTGGGTGGCTCTGATGTGTAAAACCATGAACTTTGACAGTCAGGCGCCAGGAAAGAGATGGGTGCCCCCGAGCAGAGCACATGGCAATAAAGGCCTACAGGACTTCCTAAGGTTAAACTGGGGACCTGAAGTGACAATGGCCTTGTGATATATGCCTGATTTTTTTTTAAAGATCCAGCATGTATTTTCCTCAACACAGCATTTCTCTCCATTCTGGAGGGAAAGGAATTGTGCTGATTGTTTGGTTTTTAAGTTCCCTGTTAGGATGAAGGAGGATGGAAGAGTTGTCTATGAATTTTTATTATAACAAGAGTCATTTATTTTTAAAACAGCAAAATCAAGCATTAGCTTTGAATTAAAAAAAAATCCACCCAAGATTATCCATTAAAAAAATTAATCTGAACTCTACGTGACTTTGAAGCAGGAATAACATGATGACTGAAGAGACTGTCTGGGCCCATTATGAAAGGTTTTTGGATGAAGCTTAGGAACATGCAGTAGGTAAAGTAGTAAGTGACAAGTCCACTTTATTACCTCCAAGGATCCAACTCAGCACAGAAAAGATTGCATCAAGATGATGGCAGAGTCAACCATTTGACCCCCATGGTACAAAAAGAAACGAAGTTTGGTGTGCTTAAGATGATTTCTTATAAACATTACTAATGGTGAAAAAATCAGGCAGCATCCACATAGATCTCTTTGCAAGTGTAAACTGAAATGGTGGCATTGGGTTGGCCATGTGGAGAAAGCTATCAAGAACTGGACTTCCCAACCTTCCCTCTCAGTGCCACTACTCTCCAGGGTGTGGTTGCAAGAGTAAAGTAAAAAGAAATTTTGCCAGCTGGCTGACTGTTCAACAAAGCTGCTGATGGGACATCACTAGTATGCCAAGGTCACAATGGGTCCAGGTTTACCTCTCAGATTCTGGGAAGTGAGTTCATACTAACCAAAAGCAAATAAACTAACAAGCATCCAGAGAGAGAAATGGAGAGCTCAGAGGGAATGAGAGTTCTTGTGCCAACCAGTCAACTCACTCTAGTCTCACCAGGACACTATTTGAGAAACCAAATTAAGGTTGTTAAGTAAACAATGTGAGCAAAGGGAGGCAAGGGATGCCAAAAGTTAATATAACCACACTTGGAAAGCCTGCTGCTGCCCTCTCTTGAAGACCTCTGCCAAGAGACCAGAGTGCTTGGGTGGGTGAGTTAAAGCATCCTGGCATCCCTTTCCCTGCAAGGCCAGGGATGGAAGCGTATATTTAGACAAGAAGTCTCAAGTATAGTCTGGAGACCCCTGGGGGTCTCTGATATCCTTTTGGGGTGTCTGTGAGGTCAAAATTATTTTTATAATAATACTAACATGTTATTTGCCTTGTTACTTTTCTTCTCTCCCAAGGCTACGGTGGAGTCTTCCAGAGGTTATATGACATGTAATAATGTCATCACTTTGACACTACTGGAAGGTGTGCTTGTGTATTACTGTGTTTATAACTTTCTCCATTTTAATTTTGAATGCAATAAATATCAGTAGATATAACCCACATTTTAAAAAAGATCTTTAGGGGGCACCTGGGTGGCTCAGTCAGTTAAGCTTCCGACTCTTGATTTCGGCTCAGGTCATGATCTCAGGGTCATGAAACTGAGCCATGCATTGGGGCTCCACACTGAGCATGGAGCCTGCTTAAGATTCTCTCTACCTCCCCTCTACCTCTCACTCTCCCCTTCCCCGCCAGCGCTCTCGCTCGCTCTCTCTCTCTCAAAAAATTGAAAAACTTAAAATTTTTTTTAAAAAATTTAAAATAAATTAAAAGATCTTTAAGCAAGTCTTTAAGAGTTTAAGAGTGTAAAAGGTTCCTAAGATGAAAAAATTTAAGAACCACTGATACAGACCATCATTCTCAGTCACCACACTAGAACATTGGCAAACACCAGGATGTTATTCTTTTTGATGAAATTTTAGAAATACCCTTGTACTCCAGGCGGGGATTTTTTGAGATTTAGGAAGCATTCTATCTGACTAGGTATATAATACTCAAATTACCTCAAAAGCTCCAAATAATTGTGCTTGGGACATGTATCTCTCCCTAATTCAGGGGTATAGGTACCCCAAATCCTTTTACTGGATACATTAATTTGCAAAACAAAAAAGAAGAAAGAAACATTTTTATCTATGATTTGTCTGTCCTTCAGCAATGATCTGAAGTGGGATCATAATACATGCGTGCCCTGAGAGGAAGTACATACTATTTTTGGAGTTATTGAACTCTAACTGAACTGAAAGCAAGAATCATAACCTACCATAAATATAGGGCCATCGAGCGAGTTTTCCTAGTTTTGGGGGGTTGTTTTTAAATGTGTGTGTGTGTATAAAAAATGAGGTCAATTTAGGTACCAGGCCATTTGTTAAAGATTCCTGAAGCCCATTCTTCAAATACAGTCAGCACAGAGGTTGGTTCTCACATGTGGGTCCAGTGACCATTTAGCCAGGATCCTGTGATTCCGCAAGGCCACTGCATCCTAAAGAATGGAAGGGATCTTTTTTTATAGGAGCCCTCCTGAAGCTGAGTATGGAGCATTTGTGCCTATAAATATAATATTTGCAAGCCTAGAGTTTTCCTCTGTCTCCTTCACATTGCTGACACATGGACCAAGACAGAGTTGAAGGTAGACATTCTCAAACCAAAGTAACCAAAGAACAAAATACAAGCATGTGATTTAGATATGAATGAGCAAAGATCAGATGAATATCTGATAATACACAAGACACTAAACGGGGGGGACAAGATGAGGCATGTTTCCTGTCCTCGAGAGTTGCAATCACTAAGCACTTGCCATTTTCCCATTGTATCACAGTATCCTGTCATCTACCAGTGAAACTGACAGAGATAAGGACAGGAGGGTGACCTCCATTTCTCTCCTGTATTCATAATAGGTTGAATTCATGAGAGACCTCCAGGAGCATCTCTAGCCCCCTGCCCTGAAGAAGAGCTGAAAGATAATTCAAGTCTTAGAAACAGAAGGATGTTGTCTATTATAACACAGTTAAAAATCTTAAGAAAATAATAAAATTAATGACACCCAAAATGTTCCATTTTAATCAGTAAATCTTTATAATCATGGCAATTAAACCACTTGTCTTTAGGAAAATGAGTGAGAAGACAATGGGAAGAGCTAAAATTCGAGCAACTTACAAGGCAAAAGTGAGTCACCTTTTTGGTGACAAGAGGGAATTAGGCTAATATGCCTGAAACTGCCTTGGTTAACTTGTTTTCTCTCTGTGAGTCTGGAAGGTGAAGCTCCACAGTGAGCTCTGACCACTCACTGCCTCATTGTCTTGCCCTTTGGCTCCTTTCTGGGCAAGGAAGAGAGCTGTGTGTCCCGCAGAGTTGCGTAGGTATCTGCCAACAGTCCGTGGAAGACAGCTGTCCTGGGGCCCAGAATGGGCAGTCTGTAGTGAATATTCTCTGGAGGACAGTGCAAGAAGAAGGAAAAACAAGGGCTTCTTAGAATCTATTTTTAAAGAAGTTCAAAATACCGAAAGGTCACCAAAGACTCTTTTTCAACCTTATAAAACAGATTCAAAATTCACCTAAGAATTCCTTTTAATAGAACCATTTTATCCTGCACAAGATTTAAGCTCCTATAAATCTTGCTGAAGAGGTCAGAAAAGAGAACCTAGAAACAAAACTCAAGTATTAGGAGTCATTGCCAATTAAATAAAAAGTGAATATAAAATGTGTCTGGAGTTATAATGTGAGTTGAAGGGAAAAGAAGATTCAATTCTCAGGATAAGGTAACTGGGTGATGGACATTAAGGAAGCCATGTGATGTAATGAGCCCTGGGTATTATATAAGACTGATGAATCACAGACCTGTACCTCTGAAACCAACAATACTTTATATGTTAATTAATTGAATTAAAAATTTAAAAAATATATTAAAAAAAGAAGACTTTTCAGGGACACATATATGGTTCTACCTTCAGAAAACAAACATGATCTTACGAAAAGTCTACAATAGTACTTGTATTTCAAAAGGAACCTTCATTTTATGAAATAATTTAAATTAGCATTCTTTAAAATCCTCATCATCCTGACCTCTTCTTCAAATGTGATTTTATTTACAAAAATGTTGGTTAATATTCAGCTTTTCCAGAAGACACATTGCTTGAAGGATAATGTCTTTCTATTGGAAGTCACTGAATGGAAGGGAACTGGAGTCCTGAATTCTCTGAAAAAGCCCCTCACCCAGCTGGATGAGAGCTAAGAGATGTCACAAGACCACAAACCTAGGATCTGGTTCGGTCTCATCACTGTAATGAAGAGGAAACAGAGGTCCAGGGTCACAGGCACCGATGTTTATTGACAACAGGAGCCTGTACATGTCATGGAACTCTGGATTGGAAGCCAGAGTCAAGATAAATGAATCCGGAAGAAATCCCCATAACTTATGGAGATAGGCTCTTTCTGTTTACTTAGTTCTCACTAATAATTACTGATAATATATAAGGGTTAGCTGAATCCAGAAACATACTAGAAGTCACTGTTGTGATCAAGGAGAGGAGTTAGACAATGATTGGCAGTTATGTTCATTGGGATGAGTCAGCCATGTGGTATTTGTAGGATGACCACAGGCAAGGCAGCACAGGTGGGTGGCAGCTTCAGCAATAAGCAAGTGCTGTAGCAGGGACATGTCTAAGCTGCGGAAACCTGTGGGGCCAGGGCAGTGTCAGCAGTTTTTCTGGGTTGATCAAAGGTGAAGACTTCTCAGACTGAGTGTCTGGCTCTCAGGTGCGGGGGAGGAGGAGCACTGGGGGGAGGGGGGGGAGGCGGGGCGGCAGAACGTTTCTCTGGCTTTACGGGTGGGAAGCCAGAGGCCCAGACAGTTATAAACAGTTTGGCCAGTCCTGTACAGCAAGACTAGGCCCTAAACCCACATCTCCTTGCTTCTAGGCTAGTGCTTTTACCTCACCTCAGAGGGCACCTGCAGGGGCAAAGCTCAGCTCAGAAATGTCACAGCTGGAATTGATAGATCTGCCAAGCTTCAGCTCCTAGTCAGCTCCATAAGCACTCTCCCCAAAGTCCTACCTCTAAGACTGCCCTCTTGGATGGACTCTATGGGCAAGAGTCATAAGATGTCCAAGAACATAATGTGCTGACCTTATGTACACAAAGTCTAGTTCTTATATTGGTGACTGAAATACACTCCCATGGTTAATAAATTGATGAAAGGCATCTTATCGCATTGCCCTGTAGAATCACAAAATAAACATTCTTGCTGAGGGAAGGGCATGTAAGTGTGTGTGTGTGTGTGAGTGTGTGTGTGCGCGCGCTCTACTCCTTTGTGAGGCAGGCCTGAAAAAATCCAGGTTCAAGGAAAACTCAGAATGAGCATGTGACTGGAAATGAGAACACTGAAACCAAGGGCACATGCATGTCACCCAGTGTTCTCTTGGCTTCCGGAGAATGAGGTGCTCACACACAAGCGAACAGCGGAGGGGGAGCTTTTCTTGGATGGATGTTCCTAGCTCTTGGCTCTTTAGTTTCACTTGGCTAAATGAGAGCCAGGAGGTAGGCCAATATTTCTGGATACCTAAGAAGGGATTCACTGGGACTGGCGGTCTTTTCCCTCCTCTCCAATAATGTGAATATCTGCATGCTTCAGCTGTTTACCTGAGCCTGTGGTCCCCCCTTTTAGCATCCCTTCCAGATATCCCTTCTATCTTCACATTTCCTCTCTGGATGCCTTTTCAGCAATTCTGGATCCAGCTCCCCTGTCGATGGAGCTTAGACTCTCCCGTTTGTATAAAGCAAAGAAAGGGATCTCGATTTTCCTTCTTGTGTATATTAAATGAGAGAAAAGCCAGAGGTGGCCTCAGTTAATATGGGACAAATGAGAAGATGGATAAACTTACTAACATAACAGCCTCTACTGCACCAACCCCTTGATCTGTATCCCCCCAAAGAATGACCTGCACCCACCTTCACCAGCTCAGTGGTGACATCTCTAAAAGATGAGACATAGGTCAATGCTGAAGCTGGAGCTGAAGCCGATATCCTTGTCTATTAATAGCAAGTGGACATAAGAATAGCGCTGGGCAGCTGCCAGAAGGCAGGTGGTTTAGGAAGGCTGTGGGGTGGGAGGTTCAGGGATTTGGAGAGGCCATTCCAAGGATGTGGGGATGCAGTTCCTTTCCCACCTTAACTGCCTGAAAGGGAATTACCTACTTTGTGCCCCATTTCCGTGAAAATTCTTCAGCAAGTAGATATGAGGCTCTTTAGAAAGAATGAGGCAGATCCCTGTGGCATGGAGAAGACCTGGGAAGGAGTTTGGCACAGATGAAGGTCAGTGAGGCCTGGAAAGGGGCCAGGTGGGGCTGGCCTGAAGGGAGGGCTGGGGGGCAATCAAAACAGGCCATAAGCAGTATGTGAAAAGAGAAAGGGGCAGACAGAGGGAACTTGTTTGGAAAATTTAGAAACTATCTTAGGGATTAAAGTTTTCATCCTACTACTCTGGAGGTAGTATGTCCCCCACTACAAGTACTCCAAACACAAACCTGTTGAGATGTCATTATGGGAACATTTGGAAACAGTCTGGGCTTTTGGTGGAGGAAGACTCATCATTCTGTTTGGAAGAAGCAAGAAAACACATCAGTCATGTGGCTAAGGCTTGGTGGAAAGGAATGTGCCTTTATACATTTTAAAACACAGATGCTTTCTTGAAACCAGCACCTGTTAACCTGGTGCTCAGACCACTTTGCCACAGTCTGTGATGATGGGGCCAGAGACCACTATATCTCAAGCTCTTTCACTTTAATGAATTTTGATAAAAACTTCTTTAAAAAGATTTTATTCATTGTCAGAACATGTGTGGTCTAAATAGAAGGAATCAAGAATCCTCCAATTTCCAGAAAAAAAAAAAAAATGAACAACTCTTCCAGATCAGTAATCTACCCTGCCAAGTGCAAAACAGAATATTTTGGTTCAAACCTTCTTATTTTATTTTTATTTTTTTGCCTTAAAATCTCTTCTTTTATTCCCATCAATATTATTCTGTGAGACTAGTTTCTCTACTGTTGAATGTTATTAAAGCAAGACAGAAACCATTTAGAAATACTTTGTTGTCAGTCCACCTTTGATTAAAGAAATTTTTAAAAATCTTTATTTATTTAAGTAATCGCTACACCCGACGTGGGGCTTAAACTCACGACCCTGAGATCAAAAGTAGCATGCTTTTCCAGCTGAGCCAGCCAGGTACCCCTAAATCAATTTTTATAAAGATTATTTTTATTTATTAAAATTTTTTTTAGTTTTTATTTTAATCATCCAGTGCTCATCACAAGTCTACTCCTTAATCCCTGTCACCTACTTCACCTTCCAATTTTAGAGAAAATGTCTTGACCACATCTCCTATTTCTCCTGTTGGCTAAGGCTGTGGAAGTGACCCTTGACCAAAATGGTATGAGTCCCAAACCATTTCTACATTAAATTGCTTAATTTCTAAAGACTGACAAATCTGTAAACTTTGATGGGATCTGCACTCATTTCATTGTTTCCATTTCTTTTTTTTTTTTTAAGATTTTATTTATTTATTTGACAGAGAGAGGCCCAGTGAGAAAGGGAACACAAGCAGGGGGAGTGGGAGAGGGAGAAGCAGGCCTCCCGCTGAGCAGGGAGCCCGATGCGGGGCTCGATCCCAGGACCCTGGGATCATGACCTGAGCCGAAGGCAGACGCTTAATGACTGAGCCACCCAGGCGCCCCTCATTGTTTCCATTTCTACAAAGATTTTCCAAGATTATTTTTACTTTGCCACCAAAAATATGGAGCATCTGGCCAGTTTAACTTACTCAATTGCCATTGGAGGAATCAGTGGGACTAAGGAAAAGAAAAACTCCTATTACCCATGTTGAACAAACAGGAAGGTGGTCTTTCTAAGACTGAGTAATTAAGATTTGTTTGCACTGTAATTCAACAAATATATATCTCTCCACTCATCTTTTCTTTCTCTCTTTTTCTCCCTCCCTCCCTTCCTTCTTTCCTTCATTCCTTCCATTCAACAAACATCACTTAATTTCTACAATGGTTACAATTAAAGTCACTTTTTAAAAACTCTTATTTCGGTAAGGACAATTCTACCTGCCCATACATAGAGAGAGACTCAAAAACCGTGAGGACAGATTTTTATAAGCTACTAACAGAACCAGGACCTTACTTTATAGTCACATTAGCTAAATCTCAAACAGAAGTGGTCTGTTTTCCTTCATTACATTGAAAAAAATGACCCATCTAATGATACTTCAGGTTGGTGGAGACATGATTTTAGGATTGGTTCAACCCTTAGTCTAGCTCAAGGAATTAAGAGTTGTTTGTTTAAAACAAGCTAATGATTCTGGAATTTGGGACTTTAGTTAAAATACCAAACTTGCAAGATAAATGAACTGGGGCAACAAATTTCAAAAGTTTCTGTCATAGAGGAAACTTTTGCTCGGAAATCCCAGACTTTAGATAGTTCCATTTTCTATTTAAAGTCTATACAGAATACTTATTTGAATTACTTTTATTATGATCTGATAGAAGCTTTGAAAAAGTTGCAGGTAAATGTTATCAGTGCTGGAGCGTGTTGTCCTCAAATACACTACCCATTCCTCCCTGACCCTGTCTCTCTGGGCCAGGCACCCAGCACATGGGTTCCATACATCTGAGTCTACACTGCAGCTTGGAGCAAATTTCATAAAAGGAATCCTAACATCTACTGCTGTCCAACATAAGGTTACAAAAAGACCTATCTATTTTTCAATATTTTGCTTTCTCTATGAGGAAAAAAAGTTGAAGATTGCCATTGGATCACATATAACTTTTTTGATTAGTCACATCAAATCTGACCATGACTGTTTGCCTACGTTCCAACCATCTACGGTTAGGGCAAGTCTACCTACACTGGTGCTTTAGCCAGGGTGAGTCTGTATTTCGAGTTTTTTAATGAAGTAAAAGCTTCTTTAAAGTCCTTTTTCCCTTTCTGATAGTTAAATACGGGGGAGGGGAACCCTGAAATCCAACTAATCAAAATTCTGACTGGATTTTATTTTTTATATACTTGATCTTGATAAGAAAGCAGCAAATGACAACCAAACTGATGACAGGAATTTTGGTTACTGAAAAGTAGCAGAGGATGTCCTGGACTGAGAACAGATTGTGTCTGAGGTCCCATACCTTCTGAATTACATAAGTCATCTACATGGAGAATGCGTACTCGGTTCTGCCTGAGTTACCAAAGGAATCTTGTATCCTCTTCTTTGTACTGTTCTTGGGAAGGTGGAAAGGCAGATTATACTTTCTACCGTAATTTCAATAGCTGTTCAAGCAAAAAGGTGAAAACAACTTTTTTTTTTGTCTAACTCTCTCATTTAACCAGGAAATGAAGCCATTCAAGAAGCCCATTCTCTAAGCATTCCCTGAACATTCTACTTATTATGTTTCTCAATCCACTGTCCTGTGCCCCCAAACTGATATAAATAGAATTAAAATAATGTCCTGATTTAAATCTTAGACTTACCTATGACTCATAAAATTCTCAAAGGATAATTTCAGATTATGAGGGATTATCATAGTTCTTGGTTGTACCTGAGAAAGAAAGTCTCATTTAGAACATTGCCCCAAACTGTATTCCAGTTTAAATAAATAATGCACCACCTTAGCAAACTCAAGTTGTATTTAATATTAGAATCATTCATATATTCTTTTGTGATATGAATGAACAAGAGGGGATCGCCTGCCCATAAGTCATAGAGTCTATGTTCTTCCCTGGTTATCAGATTTTGAAGTTAGAAACCTCAAGATTGGTAAAGCCTCCAATTCTCTTTGTTTAGCTCACCCCCCAACATTCTTCAGGTCTCAGATCACCTGTCAGCCTCTCGCGGACACCACTGACTCCTGGACCACTGTTAGGTAGTCCTCTGCCTTACGTTCTCACCGTTCCCTAGGCTTCCTCTACCAACATACTCCTAAGGTTTTTATTGTAATTACTTGCTTGATGTCTGGTTTCCCTCATATTTCAGCTTCATGGGGGCAGAGACCATGTCCCTATTTTTTGTATTTCCAGGTTCTAACACAGTGCCTGTTCAAGAAATATTTGTTGATCAAATTAGTGAATGAATGAACCCACTTTGAAGCACACTTGAAAGTTTTAAGTGTGCCCTTCCTAGTGGACTATAATAAATTACACACTTACACTATTCCTGATTAAGACATTATTTTCTTGAACTTTTCCAGATTCGTTACTGGCACTAGATATTGGTTTTCTTTAGGAGCTCAGGCTTTCACTAAGAATCACTTTTTCCCCCAACATTTCTCAAAAGATATCATAGCCATGGCAGTGAAAAGATAATCACAAATGTGAGTGCAAGTGTTCAGTTGGGCTATTCACTGAGTGACTTGTGATTTAAATGTATGACACAATGAAGCTGCAAATTACTATGTGGTAAGGGCCTTCAGAGGTGCTTGAAAAGAGAGAAGAATCTGAACATTAGGTCTATAGAAATGCCAATCACTTACAGTATTTAATCAGATTGTTGCAACTCATCAGCTGAGGGGAAGCATCCAGGGGGAGGAAAGAAATGATCCGATAACAGTAGCATATGGGAGTAGTGAGGGCAGCAAAGGCTTTGATGAGAACCTGGTAAGAGGCCTCTAGATACATAAAAGGGATGAGAATAAAGGAGACACACTGCCTTTTTAAAATTTCTTCTGAAATTGGCTCTGTTGCAAAGAAAGATGGTGGAAACTCTCTACCTTCTCCTGATTATACGACCCCTTTTCAAAAGCCCCTAAATCCAGCTAGTGCTATTGTATGCATGAGTGGGCTATCAGGGGCTACCCCAGAACAAAGCTACCAAAGAGAGCAGTTTTGTCCCTGAGAAGTGTGTCTGTGGGCAACTCCTATTCAGTCTTGAAAACTATGCATTGTCTTCTTCTGGGAAGACTTCTCTGATATCTACTTCCCACGCCTGTTCACATCCTACCAGCTCTATTTCTATTTCTATTCATCATTTTATTATCATTATTTGTTTACCCATTGGCTCCTTAAAGGTAGGGCTTATGTCTTATTCTTTTATTTATTTATTTTTCCTCTGTAGCTGAGCTATTACCTAAGTACCTGGCCCATGGTAGGCAGTCAATAAATATTTATTGAAATGAACTGATGTATGTAAATAGATTTTGAGACCAATGAACGTGCATATGTTGGAGAACAGCGCCCTACAGTATGTCCAGCTTGACATCCTACTTTGAAGGGGCTTGAAAGTGTGTATTAGAGAGCAATGCACATAACAGAAGGACTACAAAATAGATGTTTTAAGGGGAAGATGAGCTGTTTGGAGCAGACACGTCATAAGAGACAATTTACATAAAACTAAGGTGGCTATCCCTGGTGACTCACAGCCATAACTTTCAGTAGGTAATTTCTTCCACACTAAATAATTGAGCTCCTGGCCCAGGGTTCTCATATCCAGGAGTATGAGTAGTCATACAAAACAGGTCCTACTAGGATTTTTCTTTTTTGATATTCATCCACTTTATGCTTTTATTTTTTTAAGATTTATTTATTTATTTATTTCAGAGACAGAGATAGCCAGAGAAAGCATGATTGGGGGGCGGGGGGCGAGAGGGAGAAGCAGGCTCCCCACGGAGCAGGGAGCCCGATGCGGGGCTCCATCCCAGGACCCTGGGATCATGACCTGAGCTGAAGGCAGACGCTTAACTGACTGAGGCATTCAAGCACCCCATTTATGCTTTTATTTTTAAAAATATTTTTCTAGTGCTAATCTTTTTCTTTTTTAATTCAGACACCTAAGATTCACCATCTCAATGTACAATTCAGTGGTTTTTAGTAGCATCACAAAGTTGCACAACAATCACCACTATCGACTTCCAGAAGATTCTCAACAGCCCAGAAAGAAGCTCTGTCCTCATTAGCACTCATTTTCATTCATTCATTCCCCAAGTCCTTGGCAACCACTATCTATTTTCTGTTTCTACAGATTTGCCTATTCTGGACAATTCACATAAATGAAATCGATATAACATGTGGCCTTTACTGTCTGGTTTCTTTTATGTAACAAAATGTTTTCAAAGATTATCCAGGTTGTAGCATATATAAGTACTTTCTTTTCATGGCCAAATAATATTCCATTGTATGGATCACATTTTGTTTATGCATTCATCAGTTGATGGATCTTTGAGGTATTTTCACTTTTTGTCTATTATGAATTAATGTTACTATGAACATTCTTGTATAAGTTTGTGTATGGACATATGTTTTCAGTTCTCTTGGGTATATATCTAGGATGGAAATGCTGGGTCATATGGTGACTCTGTGTTTAAGTTTTTGAGGAATTGCCAGTTGCTGTTTCCTAGAGCAGTTGCATTGTTTTACATTCCTACCAGCAATGGATGGGGATTCCAGTTTCTCCATATCCTCATGTACACTTGTTATTATCCAATTTTTTATTATGGGCATTCTATTGGGTATCAAATAATGTCTCATTATGGTTTCAGTCACATTTCCTTAATGGTTTAATGATGTTGAGCATCTATCTTTTCATGTGTTTATTGGCCATTTGAATATCTTCTTTGGAGAAATGTTTATTTAAATTTTCTGTCCATTTTGAAATGTGTTTGTGTTTTTATTGTTGAGTTGTAAACTTTTTAAAAATATATTTTGGATTCTAGTCCCTTTTCAGATATGTGATTTGCATTTTCCCCCATTCTGTGGGTTGTCTTTTCATGTTCTTGATGGTGTTCTTTGCAGCAAAATAGTTTTTAATTTTGATGAAGGTGAATTTAGGTAGTTTTTGTTGTTGTTTGTGCTTTTGGTGTCACATCTAAGAAACCATTATGTTATTCAAGGTCATGAATATTTACACCTATGTTGTCCTCTAGGAGTTTAATGTTCTAGCTCTCACAATTAGATCTTTGATCTATTTGTAGCTATTTTTTGTATATGGCATGAGAGAGGGGCATAACTTCATTCTTTTGCATATGGATATACAATTGTCTCAGTACCATTTCCTGAAAAGACTGTTCTTTCCTCATTAAATTGTTTTGACACCTTTGTCAAAAATCAGCTGTTCAGGACCTCTTATTCTTATGGAGATCCCATAGTATATAATTAAATTTGATTTTCTCCTGTTAAAAAATTTTTTTAGTTGTTCACAAATGTAAGGTTTTATTTCTGGACTCTCAATTTTTTTCCACTGATCTATATGTTTATCCTTATGTCAGTACCACAAAGTCCTGATTATTGTAGCTTTATAGTAGGTTTTGAAATCAGGAAGTGTGAGTCCTCCAACTTTGTTTTCGTTTTCAGGATTGATCTAGGTATACTGCATCTCTTGCATTTCTATATGAATTTTAAGATCTGCTTGTCAATTTCTTCAAAAACATCATATGAGATTTTGAGAGGAATCACACTGAACATGTACATCAGTTTGGGAGTATTGCTATCTTAAAAACCATAAACATGGTTTTTTTGCATTTATTTAGGTCTTCTTTAATTTCTTTACATGATGTTTTATAGCTTTTGATGTACAAGTTGTGCATTTATTTTGTTAAATTTATTCCTAAGTATTTTAATTTTTTGATGCTCTTGCAAATGGAACTTTCTTAATTTCATTTTTGGATTGTTTATTGTTGGTATATAGAAATAGAATTGATTTTTGTATATTGGCCTTATATCCTGCAACTCTGCTCTACTAATTTATTAGCTTTAATTGTGTTTTGTGGGTCCCTTAGGACTTTCTAGATGTAAGATTACGCCATCTGAAAATACAGCTTTATATCTTCCTTTCCAATCTGGTTGCCTTTTATTTCTTTTTCTTGTCTTAACTGCCCCACCTAAAACACACAGTACGATGTTAAGCAGAAGCAGCAAGATTGGACATCCTGGTCTTCTTTCTGATCTAAGGGGAAAATATCCAGTCTTTCTTCATTGAGTTTGATGGTAGCTGTTGGTTTTTCATAGATATGCTTTATTGGGTTGAGGAAGTTCCTTCTATTTTAGGAGCCTTTTTATATCTTCCTCAGCATCTGCCTTCAGCCCCCTGCTAAGAAATGAGGGGTCTCAGTGACTACAGCAGAAATGCAGTACCCCAACCCCAGGAGGAATCTGAAGCATTGTTGTACATAGTGAAGTAAGTGTATTTATTTCATGCTCATTTTCTAAATTTCTATAGTTTCCTACCAGGCATATGCACTGGTTCTGACTTTCATGTTTGAGGTCTTTCTTTTTGGGATCTGCAGTGAACGGTAAAACCACAGTGTGTGGTTCTACTCCAGTCAGGCCTGGGCAAGGGCAAAGGTCAGAGAAGAGGTCTTGAGAAAGACAGCAGCTGCTGAAGTCCCAAGTGAGCCATCTGGCAAAAGTCGGCTTGGGCCCAGGGTCAGTGCGTTCTAAATGTGGATACAGGAATAAGACCAGGAGAAATCCCAATCCCAGTTTCCCAGATTCCAGTCAATGCTAATATTGAACACTGTGATCTTAATTAAGTAGAACGTGAACACAGATTGTAACATTCAGATACATCTTTGTCCGTAGCTTCAGTTAAATTTCCAAATCCCACAGAAAAATTTCACAAAACTGCTGGTCTCTTTCATATCCTATTAGTCAAAGCACTTTCACCATTAACGCATCAGAGGCTCTCCTACGTCTCCTGATTTTCTTCTACTCCTTGCCCTTCCTCTTATTGCACATAAGCCCAGAGTCAAAGGAGAATCATAGGATATCAGAATTGTAAAAACCCTTCCTCAACTCCTACCCTAAACCTAACCGTTTAACTAAATTAAACTTCAACCCAAGCCTGACTGACCCTAACCCTAATCCTCAACCTGACCCAAGTCCTAACCCTGACCTGTACAGCATTCCTCCAGACGCAGGCCTCTTTCTGCAGCAACTCTGACGGACGGCAGAGGCTCATCCTTGTCTCCTCCATAACCCCTTGTTACCCTTCATCCCCCACCATTCTGCACCACCAGGTACAGACACCGCCCCCCAGCGGGAAAGCGCTATAGGATGTCTCCTTAACTTTTATTCTGAGGTGCTGATTGAATTGATATACCCAAAGATCAAGCTGCTTGTTTCATGACTGCAATGGTAGAAGCAGGTTGTGTTGTATGGGTGTGTGTTGTGTTGCGTTGTACTGGGGGAATGTAAAGGGGGGAGAATTCCACAACCTCCTGAACCTCTACAGCAGTGTAGTTACTTTAGGATCTCAAAGTAAAGTGGTTCACCTCATCTCTACCCCTCTGACTCACCTACCCTAACTCGTCTTTTGGTTTCTTGAAAATGGAGAGGGTTTATTGCATTGTGTCAGACAATGGTGCTCCCAGGGCCAACAGGTCCTTTTTTGCAGCCTTCCCTGCAAAAAGGGTTGTCTCTCCGCTGGACTCTGGTGGGGGAGTGGTAGTGCTGTGCCCTGGGAGGCCCATGCTCATCTCTGCCATCCCGCTGACTTACCATTTTTATCTCTTGACATAGGGAGCACAGCTGCTTGTTTCTGATCAGCATGGGGTTACTCTGGATCCTCCTGGCCTGAGGGGAGAGAGAAACAGAGGGAGGTGAGGAAACAGTGGGGGTATTTGGAGCAGCAAAGAAGGGGGGCAGGGCTGGAGGAGTAAGAGAGGTAACAGTTATTCCTTCCATAAAACAGAGGGAGTCTCTGGTCTCAGGAGGTGGGATGGTGGATGCTGAGTCCTAGGTGGATGCTGAGTCCTAGGTGGATGCTGAGTCCAGGCTTGGCTGCCGGTGGGAAGTTCAGAAAGAGTTTAGGCAGGAGGGGGTGAACCACAGACTAATCGGTGTCTAATATAGTGGTACAGGTGCAGCTCACCCTTCTTGGCTCACACTGACGTTAGAGCCATGAGGTATGTTCATAGGAAGAGCATAATATAGGGGAGAAGAGGGTTGGAGGGACAGATAATAACTATGAATTAAAGCCCCCCGCCCCCACCACTCGATTGTCTGCTGACCTCTTACTACATGTGTGTACCCCTGTGACCGGACCTGTTCCTGCTGCCCTGGGAGGGGTGGGGAACCGGGAGAGGAGGAATATGTCTCTGCAGCACAGGGAGTGCCTGGGGTGTGCTCCCAGGGTGACCTTCAGTGGACTGGTCTGCAAGTAGCTTCATCCTCTGAGAGACATAAAGCATTTGGGTGAGGCACTATTATTGAAGGTACAAGGACTGAAAACTAGAGACAAAGTTGGATTCTTTTGACAAATATTTAAAATACATTTCATCTTTATAGGCCATTTAAAGAGAATCAACTGCATTTTACAATGTTGTGGGTTGGTATGTTAAAACATGAGTGTGAACAGCTCGATTCATTCATTCAGCAACGGACATTTATTGTGAGGCCACCCTGTGGGGGGTGCTGGGCTGGGGCCACAGAGATGAATAAGACATTTTCTGGCCCCAAGGCAGGCCAGGGAAAAATACAAATTCACTCATTTGCCCATTCATTAGGTACTGGGGTCCCTGATCTGACCTCAAGCCGCTCACCACCCAGCAGACTGCATACAAGGAACTCCAATGGTGTGGCAGGTACTATGGCAGAAGTATGTTGAGGCCACTGTGAAATGGAAAAAAGCCACAGAACTCACCTGGGTGGGTGGGGGGCATAGACGGAAGGGTCTGAGAAGGGCTACTGGAGCCGGCAATGCCCAGGAAGGTGTTGGTGGGGTGAACAAGTTGAGGGGAGGACATTCCAACCCCCAGGAAACACTGCAGCAGCGCGGAAGAATGACCTAGTGCATTGGCATCAGGTAACCGAGGTTAGCTGTTTGGTGAGTGGAGTGGGCAGAGAGGTCAGAGAGGCAGAGATTCCTGGGCCTTTGGCAGATTCCACCTTCTGCCAGATCTTCCCTGATCTCCTGGGGGTGGTATCTCCCGGGGTTTGGCTCCTCCTCCCATCCCTCACCTCTGTGAGTTCTGAGACTAAGATACATCTCTGAAACTGTCATCCAAGGCTGGATGCACTAGATATCATAGAAGCAGCAATGATATTTCTGGGCCTTCAGAAAAGAGAGAATACGTCCCATTGCAGGATTAGGAGAAGCTTCAAGAAGTGGCATTTACACTGAGTCTGAAAGGATGCAGAAGGCATAGACAGGTGGAGGTGGCAGTGGGAGGATCCTTGGGCAGATTTGGTTTTGGTGGAGTTACCAGCAGATTCTTGTTTTTCCTGTAGTGGATTCCTTCTCCTTTTCCAGATTTCCGGTTTCTACATAAGAATAAGAGTTCATTGCAAATCAAGCAACAGACATATCTGAGAGGCCTTCAGGCTGCATGGCAGGATCTTGCCAAGTTAATGATGGCTGCAGATGTGACCCCCGAGTTGCATAACCATGATGACCAGCATCCTGTGGGACCTGAAGACAAAATGTTTAATATATTGTCCTGGCCAGCTTTGTTAACTCCTCATCTGTTGAGACATAACTTCGCTATTACTTTCTCAGAAAGTCTTTTTCCTGGCCCTCTTATCATTTTGCACACCCCTAACCTGATTTGGGTGCTTGCCATTCTGAATCCATCACAGACTTGGTATAGCGTTTTGTTGTATTTTGTCCATTATTCTTTCTCCTCCCTTCCTTCCTTCCTTCGTTCCTTCCTTCCTTCCTTCCTTCCTCCTTTCTTTCTTTTTTAAATGTGTTTATTTCCTCCACCAGGCTGAGAGTTCTTGAAAAGCAAAAACACATCTCAAACATCTTTGCATCCCTAGAGCCCATCAAGAATCTGGCACACAGGAGGCATTCGAGCTGAGGGGGAGGGGCAGAGGGAGAGGGAGAAGCAGGCTCCCGGCTGACCAAGGAGCCAGACGTGCAGCTCAATCCCAGGACCCCGGGATCATGACCTGAGCCGAAGGCAGACGCTTAACCGACTGAGCCACCCAGGTGCCCCCACTGTAAGCACTTTAAACTATCCCACATAACATATACTTATGTGTGTACAAGGAAATCGAAGGAAACAATTTGGGATTCCATGTTCTGTAGACCTCCGCTTCCCCCCGCGCCGCCCCCCCCACCGTCTTGCTTTCTTTCCTAGCCCTGGAACCAAAGGTCTTCCCCTTCTGCAGCATTTGCTGCTCGCTCTTGGTTTCCCCAAGGCCAGCTCAGCAGCAGTAGCAGGGATAGCAAGTGAACTGGCTGGGGCTTCAGAGCACAGGCCCCTGGTGGTATCATCTGCAGAGTCAGAGCCACCAAGAAAAGCAACTCTGACATGGTAAGTGGGGTTCTCATTTTCCAAGCAGCTGTCCCCAGGATGGCAGATGGCAGTTGTGACGAGAAAGTGAAAGCAACCTTTTGTAGCCCGGCCAAGGTACGATGCACAATGCAGCCGGGCCAGAAGCCAGTCTGCTCTTCACATGTCACGATGGGAGAAGTCTTAATATTTGAGGTCAATACCTGCTGAGGTTCGTAAGGTCTGGCTCATGGCCCAAGTCCTTGGCCTTCTTGAATCTTTGATAAAGAAACAGAGAAACATGTTTCTCTCCTTCTGCCTCTCTCCACCTCTCTCTCTGTCTCACACACATACACACATACCTCTCCACATAACAAAAACTGAAAATGTAAAAGCACCAGATGGTGATTTTAAAAATAGCCCTCATGAGCATGCTGAGGAGCACTGACAGATTTGCCTCCATCTTCCCTGCCCTTTGACACCTCTGTTCCTTTCCTCCTTTCCACTCCTGCCTTCAGTGAGAGACACCTCGTGTGTCACCTCTAGTTCAATCCTTTCTGTGAACACAACAAAGAAATTGTGACCCAGAAGGGTTAAGAGATTTGTCCAACCATACATGTATTTAGTTTCAGTGAGCCAGAAACTTCCTTGGATAAAGGGTCAAAAGAAGACTACCTTTCCTCAGGGAGAAAGTGGATTCTTAGGATCCATATGAGGGCATAATGATTCCTATATCCCTTAGAAAAAAAAGTGGTGATCAGAGAGCTATTTTCAATATTCCAAAAAAGAACCCTCTGAAAATTACACATTTTCCTGCAATCTGAAATACCAGCCATCTCCATTAAAGAATAAAGCTGAATATAGTTTTTTTAAAAATACTCATACGGTTGACTCAGAAACATTTCAAACCTGCACAAAGTGTTATCAACAGTCATGCATTTACCATCCAGACTTATTAAACTTGGGTTTTATTACTGTCAGATCAGTAATAATGGTCATTATTACCTCCCTTTTAAAATTGTATCTGTGGTTACATGGATCTGGTCAATAGACAGAGGCAAGGACTGAGGAGTAGGCAGGGTAGTTTCTGTGGTGGTCACGGGCTCTCAAAAACAGAGCCGGGAGAGGGAAATAAGGAAACGAGCTCTTGGTGGTGAGACAATGGGGGGTTGCCCTCCTGTGCTTTTTCCCAGCTATGTCTGGGCCCCTGCAGCGTCTTTAGGCAAAGCTCTTTGTCACAGGTCTGCTGAGAGCGAGGTAAGTCCTGCTCTCCTCCGGACTCTTGACTCCTGAGACTGGAACAACAAACCCAGATCAAAGAGAGGAGAGAGGCGGTGTGGGCAGGAGCCGAGGGAATGGGGCAGCGTTTTCGACTCCATTAGTTCCTGAGTAGCTCTTGCTCAGCGACACCCAACCCGGCAAGTAGGCCAAGGGGTCCCACGCTGCAGGCCCCACGTGGCCCCCGGCCGCGCCGCCTTGCTGGGGAGCTGCGAGCCAGTCACCGCGGGGCCTCCCTTGTGCCTCCTGATAGCGCCCGGGGCTGTGTCGCGGCATCTGGAGGAGTCCATGCCTGTCACTGGCCGGTAAACGTCCTTCCTGACGAAGGAGCCGCTCCGCAGGGCAGATGTCTAAACGGGGCAGTGGAGGCTCCATTTCTTCGTGTTCATTTTCTTTGTCAGCTCTGCCTTTCGTCTTTTTTTTTTTTTTTTTTTGTATTCTATGCCCCTACCTACCTCTCTGTGTCTCTCTCGGCTTCTGCCTTTGCGTCTGTTTGTCTTCCTCTCCCCATCTTCCAGTCTCCGAGCCTCAGGTTCCTTTCTGTCTCTCTGTCCGTGGGTGAACAGTGCTGCAGACACCCAGACACCTGCCTCTACCACAGGACGGCTCCTGGGCAGGGCAGGAAGGCCACTTGGAACGTGAATGCTCAAAGTTCGGCCCTCTGACCTGTGACTGGGAAGGGGAAGGGAGCCAGATGGCGGGACCTTCGCACCTGTGCTCAGAGGCAGCCTTTTGGCGGGTCCCTGGTTTAGAGGATAAAGGAAGAGATAGGGTGTCCACAGTGCACTCCACTCCCACCACATACAGCACAGTTTCTTTCCAGAGAGGAGCAGGTGCCTGCTGAGCCCACGTTTATCTCACCGGGTCCATGGGCAGGCCTTCGTGGTCACAGCCAACTCTGTGCAAATCTGCACACCCAGACCTTGTTAAAATAATGTTTATCTTCCTTTAGCCGCCCCGTCTATTTTACGGACTTTCCCACCGTTGCCTCTCTTTGTTCAGCCTAGCAAAAAAAAAAAAACCATTCAGGTCTTGCCACTTCTCTGGGTCTTCATTTCCTTTTGAGGGCTCCTGTGTCACGTAAAACTTACCTTGAATACACGTGTATGCTTTTCTGCCGTTAATCTGTCTTACAACAATTAATTCTCTGACGCGGCCAAACACCCTAAGATGGCAAAGGTAAACTTTGCCTTCTCTACACCTGCTTGCCTTTCCTATCTGCAGGGACAACTGTTTTTCACACACAGGCGCAGAGACGGGAAGAGAGAGGTGGAGGATCCGGCCCCGGCGCGGTTAGGGTGAGGGCGAGGTCCCGGAACTCTCCTTTCCTTGCAAGAGTAACGACCGGCGGATTCCTGGGCCTGCCCAGAGACGGGCCTCCTCGGCTCAGCCTACTGGCCAAGCCCCGGGAAGCTGTTGCTCTTGGCTGCTCTCTAGTGGTCACCCGGGAGTATTGCAGCCATGAAATTCTAAGCCCTGCGGAAGACGGGCCTCTCACTCGCCCTGGCGGTTATTAAATGTTTTCTTCTCCCGCCGCCTCCTGCCCAGCGGGTCTGGGGCCTAGAGTCTTAATGCCTCGGAAGGCACGATGCACTGAGACTCAGAGCTCACCTGGGATGAGGAGGTGCTCAGTGGCATGGGAGAGCCTGTCCAAATCGGAAGTTCAAAGAGAGACTGACCGGAAGGCTTCCAGCTGGTTCTGCAGCAACTGCCCGGCGGATCCTGTCCGGGCTCAGCCCCCTCGGTGCACGTTACGGGGGCACTCGCACCTACAAGCCTGTCCCGGGGGTTGGGGGATTAGTGCCGTGACTCAAGCACAGCCCTGCCCCTAACTGCCCTGCGCTGAAAACCTGGAACATCTCTCCCCGCCGCTCCTGGCCCCTGGGGCCCTCTGCGCTCCGGCTGGGCCCACCCACCCGGTCCCGTTCCCCGTCAGCCCGCAGGTGTGGCCTGATTTCTCGTTTTCAAGCCCTTTCTGCACGCTCAGGCTCCGCGTCTTTGCTCCCCTGCTGCTTCCCTCCGCTGTGGAAATACCTTCCAGATCGCATGCGGGAGCCGCTTCCTCTGGAACCATTCCCTGGTGCTCCCTGCTCACCTCTCCTTTCCCGCGCATCGCCTCGCCCGACCGCTGTGCGCCTGTGCGGTCCGCGCACCTGTTCTTGGAGGTGCATCGGACTCGCCCCTCTCCCTATCGACGCTAAACCACAGAAGGCCTCCCTAAGCAGGAGTCTACCTCTTGTCACGACGGCCAGCCCCCTGGTGGCTCGCAGAGCGGAGCTGTCCCCATGATGGGGCGTCCCCGAGCGGGGAGCGGGGCGCTGTGACAGTGTTTAGGAACGCCGCCCAGGCCCACCAGCAGCCGGCCTGTGTACTTCTCAGGTGAGAAACTGCTCGTCCGCCCGGGAGTTCCCTCCCTCTGTCTCCCCACACTGCTGACTTCCTCGGGCACCTCTAAGATAGGGAACCCTCTGGGCGCTGCCCAGGAGCCAGTCACGGTGGATTTCTGGGAGGTGGAGGGGATAGGCGGAGGACAATAGGAAATTCCACAGGTGTAGGATCTTGTACGTGGGAGACATAAGGGATCCAGGGTTGGTGATGGGACAGGGTCAGAGGCTCCAGAAGCTAGGACTGGCTCAGGACACAGGCTGAGCAGCTGTCCCTGAAGACCTCAGGGCCTATTTCTCAAGAGGATTGTGTTTGTTTGTTTTCATTTTTTGATGATTGTAACCTTTATTCTTAGTGCTAGTGCACCGTGAGCTTGAGTGAGCCTGCAATGCTCATTCTTTTCATTAATCAACTATCTATGGAACAGTGATGATGTTCCAGGCCCACGGCTCTGCTAAGAGATAGGAAACACTGTTACATTTACCTTCAATGTCATCCTGGAACCACTATGGTTTTCTTTGCAGTTAAAAAACAAAATTGCGTACCTTAGATAAGACATCTGGAACTTGAAACAAAATAGGCAAATTCCTATCCTTCTTGGATGAAATCAGAAAAGTAGCAGAGGCATGAGGATATCTGAAGTAATCAAAACAAAGCAAGTTAGGACCACAGTCTCTGGTTTGAAAAGCCAAGCTCACGGTTGTTTCAGAGATGTAGGGGTCAAAACGAACAGGCCCAAGATGTACCACTCTGGCCTGCAGATTATTTTGAGCTGAAAACAATCAAGGCCCAAAAGACTCGGGAAGAAACTTTGACCTTCCCCTTAACTGCCTAAAAGAATTTAGATAGAGGACCTGCTCCAGGAGGAGAGCTATCCCATAGATTATATGTAATATAATATCAACTAGGTAATGAAGACAGGGAGGAACTTCACAAAGTCTGTTGAAATTCATCTCTGTGTCCCATTGTTTCTGGATGGCCCAGCAAACATTTGTTTACCAAACATTAACTCTTTCCATTCTTCCTGTGAATTGTTTTCCTTCCCTTTGAAGTCGCCAACCCCTGCCCCCTTCTCCTTACTTAGTTCAGGATGACATATATATGACATTTGGCATGACTGTCTTTGGAATCTCATGTGGGTTCCTGTATGTACAAAATTAAATTTGATTTTTTCTCTTAGTAATGCGTCTCATGTCAATTTGATTCTTAGACCAGCCAGAAGAAACTTGAAGGGCAGAGAAAAAAATTTTCCTTTCCAACAGAGATAACCAGGGGACACCCAGAAGAGTTGTTTCCCACCCCAGTATTGAAGGGCACAGACCATTTGGCAACTTCCAAAGGATGGCTTTGCCCTCTTAAGTGATTCTGGCTTCTCTGTCCTTTTGTTTTGAACTAACCAATGCCAGTTGTGAATTGTTGGGAGACAGTATACAAATTAAGGCAGGAAAAAAGTTGTTCATAAATGTGTAATGGGTGAAATGCAACCAGATCTCCTTGAAAAGACCTGTGTAGAAGTTATTCATATTTAATAAGTGCAGGTTTTTTTCATGCCTGGTCTGCTTTCTTGGGAGTCTGTGTCCTTGGACACTGAATCCACTCATTTCTTCCCATGGAACATATTCTTCCTCCAACCACTCTGGAACATTCTTTCTTTCTAGTCAGGGGGTGTAGCAGTGAAGCTGCGGGGACAATATCAGTTCTCCTCTAGGGTGTGACCTGCCTCGCAGCTGTTGTGGTTCATTTTATCACAATATAAGGGGCCAAGGCATTCAGGGGGCCTGGTCATCATAAACTGCTTGTGTGCGCAATACTCTGCATGTCCCTGGCATTCCAGAAATGGAAACTTGGCATGCCAGGAACACCTCTCCTCTTTAATGAGGAAAGATTTCATTGTTCATTGTTCATTTATAACTCAGGCATGTGAAAGGAGTTGGTATTCCTGAGGCATTTACAGTTTCATTTCTCCTCACCATTTCCTTGGGCCCTGGTAGAACAGGGGCAGTGGGTCTGACCCAGCCCCTTCACTGCCTTTATCTTTGATTTGTGAACAGCCTGCCTTGGACTTGACACCCAAATGCTGACCTAGGGAAACCAGAGGCCACTCTCGAGCTGCTTCAGCACTCAATAATCTCAAATCAATAGGGCCTCAGTGTGACCTGTGGGCTTTTGAGACTGATGATGAGTGTGTCTTCCGTGTAGCAGGGCAGTCTTCTTTGAAGGAAGGAGGTCTTTGGAGGCCCTGGTGTTCAGAGGTGGGCCTCACTCGTCTAGCCCTGTATGTGTGTACAGGGGCTTGTAGTTGGGGGTGCTCTGAGTACATTTCACTAAATGTTTCTTTCTGTTTTTTAGACTGTTCTGTGTTAGAACTACTTGTCCAAAACCAGGTAATACTTAAAGCACACTTATAACTTTCTTACTGAGGTCTTAGAAAAAGTTTTTGCCAAAACAAACAGCTTGGAACCCAGAGTTTAAACCAGATGAAGGGTTTTTAGTCGTTAAGAATTGTTGATACTTAAACCATCCTTTCAAAAGACTTTGCATTCCTATGTCATCTCCCTGAAAGCTCCAGGCACCACCCTGGTGCATATCCAGTCAGTGTCTTTTGAGGTAGAGAAGTGCAGTTTCTCTTCACAAGGGTTGAGATTGCTGCCCAGATACTCTGTTTAGAAATGAGTAGAGCTCCACTGACCACTGAGGTAATTTCTCCTTACAACTCGCTCAAGGTTAGCTGGCCAGAGGGAAAACTACCCCTTCCCTTCTGACTGTCAATAGTCTGTCCCTTCTGATACTCCAGGACCTGGCTGTCAGTTGTGTTCTGGGTCTGCCTTCTTCAAGCCCTCATCCTGTTCCCCCTCCCTACCCCCGACCCCAAAACTGTACAATCAGGGAACAAGAGCACCATGCCCAGTGCTGCTTTACTTTTGGCTGCAGGGGCAGGTCTAACGGGAATGGGGCTAAGAAGGGATAGCAAGCTGTTACTCTACTTAGACGTCAAACACTAGCCGTGTCACGTTAGCTAGACGTGAGCTAGAGTTTAGACACAAAGTTAAGTAAAAATAGCAGAAAAGAGCAACAGGCACTTCATAGGTGCTCTGAAAATACACAAATCTGTCTAGCTGTTTACTGAGAATGTGGCTTTTAAAAGGAGCAGCTGATAAAGCAGACATCTATGTTATTGAAGAGGGGATGTGGGGAGAGCATCCCTCACGGAGACTCACTTATCTATGGGCAGGAGGGTATGTGTCTCCCTTTTCCCCCTCTGATTTCTCTCATTTGCCCCCACATTACCTCACATTCCCCCTTCCTTCCATTTCCCCTCCCCAGAGCAGGGCTATATCACCATAGCCGGGGACCAAAAGTAGAGGAGGAATGAGGAAGCCCAGTTATTTCAAGTGTCAGCACTAAAACGCTACTAACACACAAAGACCTCCAGTTTTGAAACATAGATTCATGTTCCATAGCAGTTTGTCCGGAAGTAGCAGGCCTGGTGAGATTGGAGGAGATTGTCTCAAAGGGATATACGGGCAGTCACTACTCTCTAAAGACAGGAATTTATGGTTCTAGACTTTTGATGGTTAAAATTAGTAAGTTTCAAATTGGAAGTGATTGGATAGGCAGCATCCAGGGACAAAATTCTTTTGTATTGTTGAGTGGCAGTTGTAGAGAGGGAGGTTAACTGAGATCTCATCCCCCTGCCAAGCCTATACTCCGTGCCCACTTTTGTCTGAGAAACCTGGGCCATTTCTGGTTTTTGAACGCTTATCTTGGGTTTCTTAACTGACCAGATTTGCCCCTGATAATTGCCCCCAGAAATCATCTTCTGTGATGTCTTTCTTGCTACCTTTGCCCTCAGTGGCTGAGCTGTTACCTTTTGGGGATGCTGAGCACTAATGGCTTGTTTATGAGGCTGGCCTCACTAAGCCAAGGAATCTTGCCAAATGTTGGAACAGAAACCTGGAGAGAAATGGAAAGAGATCATTGTGCAGACTTTATTGCATTTGAGAACTGCCATCAAAACAATGACCAAAGTAAGCTAATGGCAGCTATATAAAAGCCAGCACTTTACAAAACATTTTTATTGGAGCCTTTTGAGTCCCCCGTAAAGTACCCAAGAGCAAATAGAGTTCTCTCCACTTAACAGATGAAGAAATCAAAGCTCAGACATTGTGATTTGTCAAGTCACACAGCTAATAAGTGGATTCAGGTTTTCTGACTTTTGTGCCCACTGTAACTTGCGTTCTACTATATCTATCCCTTTGCTTCTTTATTACTTTCATCTGTTTATGCATCTATGAAGTCAGCTGAATATTAGCAACCTCCTATTCAGTCTCGGACTATTTTCCGTCACAGGGCCCTCCACCCCAATTCCTTCTAGGCAGCAAAGAGGAAAGAACCACACTTTGAAGCTCAAACAACTGGATGTTTATCTCCGTTGATCCACTTTGCAGCTGGTGGCTTTGGACAACTCACAACCTCTCTGAGCCTCAGTTCTGTCCTCTATGAAGATATCATCACTTTACAGGTCAATGTACAAGACAGAAGGCTCCAGGAGAGCAAGGATTTTTGTTTGTTCCAGTCACTGCGGTATCAGGATCCCCTAAAACAGTATTTGCAGGTACTCCCTGAATTGGCGTCCAGTGAATTCACGGATACATGGGAAGTCCCCAGTTGAGCGCCTGGCTTAATAACAGGAGCTCAATAAAGTAGGCTTTATAATTTCTCTTTAACAGACCAGCCTCTATTCCTGGCGTTCGGATGCCAAATCCCGTCTTTCTGTCGGGCATTCGCTTTTTCCTAGGCTCTGACCCTGCGCCCTCCCTGGAGGGGCCGGGAGGTCCTCCGAGCCGCCGGGAGGGGGCAGCAGCGACCTCGCAGTCCCGCCGGCCGCGAAAGGGCGCTCCTGCCGCGAAGGTGGGGGCGGACGCGGAAGTGCTCGGCCGCTGCCGCGACCCCGGCGCCCCGGATGGGGAAGGAGGCGGGCGACCGCCTTCCCCCGGCCGCGCAGCCCCAGGAACTGCGGGCAGGTGGGTTATGAGTGGGAGACAGTCTTTCCGGGCCTTTTTATCCTTCGCCATCCCCCGCAGGCCCCAGGCTGGTGAGGGGCGGCGGCGGGCGGGGGAGGCCGGGGAGGGGGAGTAGGGCGCCCCCGGGGACACCTGCCGGAACCCACGGAGCGGCGTTGCGCTTTTACGCTCCGCGGACCCTCCAGCCCGGGCGGCGGCCGGGAGCTCCCTGGGCTGGGGTCCCTGCTGCAGTGAGGGGTCTCCCAGAGGGTCTCGCTTGTGCAGCAAAACCTATCGTGGTCTCCGTGGAAGAAATAAGGTCGGGCAGTAAGAATTTTTTTCGCAGACTTGCTGGATGACCCCGGTATTTCTGACTCTTTTAAGTTTTCATTGTGAAAAAGGAGAAAACGTCGTGAGAGTTTCCCCTGTAGAAGTAGAATGATAACCCTTTAAATGATGTTAAGCTCAGTTAATGGATTAAGAATCTTTAGTTTTTCTGAGTCCTTGGTTTTAGCCGAATAAACCGTAGAGCTCATACCTTTTTGTATTGTGCAGTTTACTGTGGTCTTTAGACTGGTACCTTTTTTTTTAAATAATAGATGCCTTTTGAGATCTCAATAAATAAAGGCTCTGGATCCTATCCCTAGAAATTTGCATTAATTGCAGCTGCAAAGATACAGTGACAGGGAGTGTTTTTGGATGCTCTGAAGCCCATCCACAGACCTCAGGGATATGTGAATCCCTGAGTTAACTGGTTTAGAGGTAGACATGATGTGAGGCCCTGGCTTTGGGGTCAGACTTTGGTTTGAATTTGGTTCCATTGTTTACCACTGTTAATTTGGGCTGAAGTTACCTAAGCAGTTTGGATCTCAGGTTTTTTGTTTTTGTTTTTTTACTAATTAAAGTGGAGCTAATGCTAACTTGGAAGGTGGGGATTAAATGAAAGAAGCTGCAGAAGGCACTCAGCAGATAGTGGGTACTGAGTTAAGTAATAGCTAACAGGTGTCTTTTATTATCCATGGGATTATAACTTAAAGTCTGAAATGAAATGTTAATGTCCCTAATTATAAAATGGCCACCACATATATTTTGCTCCAACTTTTAATAAACTGAGTTGGTTTGATTTTAACCGGGTCCTTCCCTTGACCTTTCACAGCTTTCATATGTTCATAGTCTCTCTTTTTCTAGGAACTTGGCTGTATTGTCCTGCCTCAGAGAGCAAACTCATCTACTGCAGGCCTGGCCTGGGTTGCTGCCTTTGAAACTCGGAATAATACCAACCACAGCACAGCATGGAATTTCTAGAGAGGTCTTATTTCAAAACTTAAGAACGAGAACCACATGGACTTGTGCAAGGGAGGTGGAACCGGCCTGTGTTTGAGGGGGAGGATCATGTGTGCCCAACCTGGAACTAACACGAAGGAGGCCAAGTGGCAGAAGATCTTGTATGAACGACAGCCCTTTCCTGATAACTATGTGGACCGGCGTTTCCTGGAAGAGCTCCAGAAAAACATCTACGCCCGGAAATACCAGTACTGGGCGGTGGTATTTGAGTCCAGCGTGGTGGTACAGCAGCTGTGCAGTGTCTGTGTTTTTGTCGTTATCTGGTGGTATATGGATGAGGGTCTTCTGGCCCCCCAGTGGCTTTTTGGGACTGGCCTGGCTTCTTCACTGATTGGTTATGTTTTGTTCGATCTCATTGATGGAGGTGAAGGACGGAAGAAGAGTGGGAGGACCCGGTGGGCTGACCTGAAGAGCGCCCTCGTTTTCATTACTTTTACGTACGGTTTTTCGCCAGTGCTGAAGACCCTGACGGAGTCTGTCAGCACGGATACCATCTATGCCATGGCAGTCTTTATGCTCTTAGGCCACCTCATTTTCTTTGACTATGGCGCCAATGCCGCCATTGTATCCAGCACGCTGTCCTTGAACATGGCCATCTTTGCTTCTGTCTGCCTCGCGTCACGCCTGCCCCGGTCCCTGCATGCCTTCATCATGGTGACATTTGCCATCCAGATTTTTGCCCTGTGGCCTATGTTACAGAAGAAACTGAAGGCGTGTACTCCCCGCAGCTACGTGGGAGTCACACTGCTTTTTGCATTTTCAGCCTTGGGAGGCCTGCTGTCCATCAGTGCTGTGGGAGCCATCCTTTTTGCCCTTCTGCTGGTTTCCATCTCTTGTCTCTGCCCTTTCTACCTCATTCGCCTACAGCTTTTTAAAGAAAACATTCATGGGCCTTGGGATGAGGCCGAAATCAAAGAAGACTTGTCCAGATTTCTCAGCTAAGTTAGAGACTTCCATTCTGTTATTAAGGCAAGCTGATAGACTAGCCTCCTAACTAGTATAAGATTTGAATCTTACAAGAGTCCCATTCTGGAAGCAACGTACCAGTGTGGGTCGGGGAACAGAGATCAAAAGAAAAAACTAACCAAAGGCGTGGGTGGTGAAGGTGCTTGCCCTTCTGTTATTTTGTGGATGAAAAAGCTTCCTGGGGCCCTCTTGAATTCTTGCCTGTCATCCGCTGTAACAAAGTGATGTGGTTTCTATTTATTAAATAACAGCACATCCATTAAGTTGTCTCACGATTTTTCTGTAAGCAGAAGGCTGACAGAAGGGGCGTGAAGATTGAAGAGAGAATGAAAATATGTGTGTTTATGAGTAAAGTCACTTCGCTCTACCTTTATCTAGAGCTCAAATGCGAGAATCCTGGATGCTGTGCTCTCTTACTGGCTAAGATCACAGAATCGGTCACTTCACCTTGACTTCCGAGTTTCTCCTTCGTTCTCAGTGAAGCATGGACACACTACAAGGGAGAGTGTGATGTTCATAATACATAATCAGAATGCCAGGGCGTTCAGAGAGGCTGAAGTAGTTAGGAACTATTTGCTAGAGGAGGTGGCATTTGAGCTTGGTCTTGGAGGTTAGGCAGGATTTAGGTAAAAGATGGTTTTAGGGCAAGGTGGCAAAGGCCTTTAGGAACCAGGTCAGTAATACGAACAAGTGAAGCCAGCCTACTTCGTGTGACGAATGGCAGCTGAACGCTGGATGGAGTGTGCCCTGGCCAGCGAGGGCAGCTGCCGCTCCCTCTGAGGGTTTCTAGCCAGAACATAGGCCTGGCTGCAGATCCGGAAAAAGTTCTGAGTAAAATCCGAAATGAAATCTCAGTATCGCAAATGTGATTTTTCATGTGAAATCTGACTGGTAAATTCTGTCAAATTTAAATCTGGACAGAAACCACACTTGGATGCAGCCTGAGGCCGCCATTGTGCCACATCTGTTGTTCGGGTGAGCACAGAGGTGAGGAAGTGTTTCATGGGGGTTCGGGGTTATGGGGATTGGAGGAAAAGTTGGAACGGGAGGTTTGAGTGACAGGAATTTGGGCTTTATACTGTGGGTCATTGGGAGCAATCCGGCTTATCTAAGCAGGGAGTAAATGATTAGATCATGGGCTGATTATGCAACTGCTCCGTGTCTTGTTTTTCATCTGTAAAGTGGGAATGGAATCTGCAGAACGCTCTGAAGAGCACTGGACATGTAGCACTACGTCCGTGTCGGCGGCCACTGTCTCCAAGTTGATCAGTAGGAGGGCTGGAAGACGACAAAGTACAAAACGCATCAGGTGCCTCCCAGAGGAGCTGGTGTCTCACGAAATAACTCACTTGGGGCAAGTCCCTGAACCATCTCACTGGTGATTGGCTTCAAGTCAGAAATTTCTTCAGAGGTAGTCATCTTCCGAAAGAGTTCTGTTTTTCTCCGAACATAGATTTCTCAGTGTCTTGACCTAGTGTGTTCAGTACTGTCACCTCACATCATTCTTTTTCTGATTTGAATTTGGACTGATGAGTATAGTGTTTCATTAAAATGGGTAGTTTTCCCTAAGGCGTGTTGGATTTTTTTCGCAGCCCCAAGGACACTGGCTCATGGGGAGAGATGATCTTGGAAACTGACTTGAGCTCAAAGCGTCCATCCACTGCCTGTGTTGGCTGTGACCTTTTCATGCCTCGAGAGAGGCCAGAACTGGCTCATAGTTGCTGTATGGTTGACATCAGGAACAGGGCCAGGTGTTAGTGGTTGAAGGTAGTAAAGAATTGTATAAAATTGTGCTTTATTTCTTTCTATCCTAATACATTTGCCTTATTTGAATGGTTTCTGATGATCAACTTTAGGGAACTCACGTAGCAGCTGCATCCATGTCGATGAACAGAAAGTTCTCCAAATTTGAACCACTTTCAGGAGTAGTTTCAGTGGGATGAATTAATGGGCCTGTGCTGTCATTTTCAGCTCTTCTCCATCACGCTGTATGTAGTATGTGGAGCCCCCCACGGCCTGATCCTCTTCAGTTTGACGGTTGTAGTTCAGTGTGGAGGTGGCTGGGGGATGGGAAGTTGAGGGTTGGATGTGAGGGGGTGGAGTGGGGCAGCCAACTCAATTCAGGTAGAAAGGTGGCAAAAAGGATATTCCAACTGGAGTGAATAGTATGTTCAAAGCGCGCAGGGAACGGATTCATCCTGGCAGGGGACAGAAGCACAGAACAGACGAGCTGTGGGGAGAGGGCTTGAGGTCTGAAAGTGCCTATACTCAGCGCAAACTAAGGTTTAGAAAAGGGATATAAGATTCCCACCAAACGCAATGTTATGCATAAATATGATACAGCTCAGTTTTCAGGCTGAGCTAGAGAGGCTGAGGCTGGGGAGCTCTGTGGCAATAGTGAAGAGTGAGCTCTGGATGAAGGGTGGGGACAATGGTGGGTGTGGGGATGAGGGGCCTGATTAGAGAGATTCTCTGAGATCTTGGGAGACTCATGTGGGGAAATGGGAGGGACTGGAGGATGACTGGGGCCTCTGTCTTGAGCGGATTTGTGTTCCATTCACTATTCCATGAAAAAACAAGTGAGAACGGGTTTGGAGGTGAAGTAGATAAAAGAATGGGACCCATTAAGTTTGAGGTGCCTGAGATGGTACACTCAGGCTAAGGTGTTCCAAATGTAGTATCTGGAGGACATTGGCTCCAAATTCTGGGCGTATTCTAGAAGGGTATTGACATCTAAACAGAATCTAGTGCTTTTGTACTTGGAATTCTTTGTATAGGATTGGTTGCCTCATAACCAGGCTGTGGTGGAATTAGAGATGGAACACAGAAGGAGAATTAAAAAATCAAAATGATAACCAAAGGGAAAGAATGCCCTATGAAAACAGATTAGAGAATTGAACACCACGCCCTGGAAGGAAGGCTCAACAGAGATACAGAGTCATCACCTATAACACTGAAAAGGGCCAAAGTGAATGTTGATTTGTTTACCAAGTCATGAGTGGGAGAGGACACCCTTTGAAATTCGAGCTGGGCAAGTTTCAGACAAATGAAAATATAATTTTATACACTTTCTGCCTGTAACTCCAAGAAGTTCCCCAGACCAAGAACATAAATGGATTCCAAAAAGGTTTGGGAAAAAATACAAATAAGCCGTAAACATTTTGTAAGAAAATGTTAAGAAATCCCAAGCTCGTACGTGGTACTCCCTGAGGGATGATGAGGCTTCCTTAGGGCACGCTGCTTGATGCTGCTGACACAGGGATGCAGGCCCAGATGATGATGATGGGTATGACCTGGTGTGACAGTTGTTGGGAATGCTACTCCTCACTAAAGGACAGTGATGCAGCCAGTCTCTTAAATTTAAGCTACGCTGAAAGAGTGCAAGCAGAATATTAAGGACTTAGATTTTTCAGAGAATATTATGGTGCATGTGGGAAAGGAAAGGGGAAGGCGTTACCATAGCATTAAAATTAAAATCCCAAACCAAATGCTTGCTTGCATAGGCAAATGTTAACCCTCCCTTCTCTGCACCCCTTTCTCCCAGGCCTGCTTCCTGTCAGTAGGTAAGGCTGGATGGAGAGGGTGGTGGTGGCAAGTGAGAGCAAAGAGGGAGGAATGGGGAGGCAGCTTTGCCTGTGCCTCCAAAATGGCACCAGGGCTTGCAGTTGGGATAGACGGGGTCAGGGGAACGCAGAACTATAGAGCAGTGGGTGTGCTCCGTTTGGGGGCATGATGTGGCTTAGAGACGATTAGCAGGGAGCTAGAAGGCTGCCGGGGATCTGAGGATAGCAGTACGTTGGGTCTGTGCGGCGACCAACTTGGTGTCAGTGTTAGGCCTCTGTACCGTGGCATAAACTTTTGAGTGAGCCTTTGAGCAGCTGGCTTCAATTGTGGATTTAAGAATCCATGCTGAGCGTATTCAAGGAAGCCTGGAGCCACTCTACAAAAGCCAAAGGCTCAAGGTCAAGACAAAGAAAAGCCAGCAGAGGGCATCAGTCACACAATTTTACAATATTCCAAACGCACTGGATGCAGGGAAACAGGGCTGGGACACAGTGCCATCCTGTGGAAGTTATTGATACTCCTTTTTGTAATGAAATTCAATGGAATTCTTGATGAATTGTAGTTTGAGAAATAACTACATCATTTGAGGTCCCCATAAATTCAGGAAATAAATAGCACGGTGGGATTTGATAAATTATAATTGCTACATTTTCAAGCACCCAGTGTGTACCAGGCACTGTGTTAGACACTTTATATGCATTATCTTATTTACTTGTCATAACAATCCTGTAATACAGGTATTATTTTCATTTTACAGCTGAGGTGACTGAGACTCGTAGTGAGCCAAGAACTTGCCCAAGGCTGTGTTGCCAGTTTTGGCTGATACTTTGGTTTTCTGACAGCTGAATTGCATGCAGGGCTAAAGGCTAACTGGTAGGCAGTTACTTTTAATGCTTTCTCAAATCCCTCACTACCCCCTTTATCCCTTCTTCCTACCCCCAACATCTAGCAAAATATTTATTGTCCACCCAGGCTGATGTCTACTCACTTTCTGCCATTCACATTTTATGATGTTTGGCCTCAGGAATGTATTCATTCAGCAAATACTCACTGAGCACTAACTGTATGACAAATACTGTTCTATGTGCTTGAAGTACATCTAGGGACAACGTGGACAAATGTCCTCGATCTAGTAGGGCCCACCTGCTAGCAGGAGGAGATAGACAATAAACATAAGTAGAAGATAATGCTATGGGGAAAAAAGGGGGGAAAGTGTCAATGGTATTAAATAAGGGGGTCAGGGTAGGTTTCATGGAAAAAGTAACATTTGACCAAAGACCTGAAGGAGGTGAGCGAATAATTCAGATTCCCAAGGGACGAACATTCCAGGCAGAGGGAAGAGCTGCTGTAAACGTGCTGGCAGAAGACCCCAGGCTGCCTGGCATATTTAGGGGAGAGCAAGGAGGGGCTGACATGGAGTGACCAAAGGGGACAAAAGACGAGGCCAAAGAGGTAATGTGGGGTTCTAGATCACGTGTGACACTACAGGCTAGTAAAAGGACTCTGGCTTTTACTCAGAGATGGGAGCCATTGGAGGGGCTTGGAGAAAAAGAGGGATGTGATTTGGCATACATTTTGGAAGGCGCATTCTGGTTGCTGTGGGGCAAGACCAGGGCAGAAAGAAGCATTAGGAAGCGCTTGTAGTCATCCAAGCAAAGGTTGATGGTGCTCAGAACAGAGTGATAGCAGAAATGGCAAAAAC